ATACGCTGCGCCGCTACATCACCAACGTTCGGGAGCCTCATACGTTCCCGATTGCATCCATGGCCGAGGTCTACGCTCGCAGGTGGGATATCGAGATGGCGCTCACATTGGTCAAGCAGCACCTCAAGCTGCGTCTTCTGTGGTCTGCCAAGCGGGTGGTGATTCTCCAGCAGATATGGGCGACGCTCATAATCTCCCAGGTCCTTCAGTCGCTGAGGCTTGAGATAGCCCACAAGGCCGGGGTTGACCCGTTCGAGGTGTCCATTGGCCTGCTGGTGGAGTATGCACCCCAGTATGCCTATGAAGGCAGGGACCCTGTGAAGATCTTCGTGGAGCGAGGGCGTGAACTGGGCTTCATTCGACCCTCGCGCAGAACGCGCATCCACGCCCCTAGCATACCTGACGAGGCGATCCTGCCCGCTCCCCCAGCACTGGCGCTCACTCGCACCCCTAGATACGCTAACCGCAAATGTCACAGACGCATCCAAACATCTCAAAAGTGAATTAGTTGGAGCAGATGTTTGAAACCCGCCCCTACGGGATGGATAATTCGCGGCGCAGAAAAGACGAACGATATTGTCCAGACACAAGGTGACCTGGGTTTCGGGCTAGGCGCAGTCGGTGGCTATGGCTAGAGCGCGGCAGACCTGGCGCATCTTGGGTTCGGTGAGAGCCGACGTAGCGGTGGAGGAGCCGTTGCTCCACGGTCTGGACGTGGTCCAGGTTGATGCGGAGTCGTGCTTCAGGCCTCGTCGGACCTCCGACAACACGCTCGCGGGATCCCCGGATGTCGGGTTATGGGCAGCCACCATGCGGGGCGCAGCAGTAGCACCTCCTCGGGTGTGAGTATGAGAACGGGGCGGCGCTTGTCGGGCGGCGCGAGGCGGTATTGCCATATCTCCCCGCGCCGGGGCTCGTAGCTCACCGGTCCGGCCACACGCCCTCGCCTGCCCATCCCTGGAGCTCGTCGTCGGGCGCAGCACCACCGTAACCGGTACGGTAGCGTTCGGCTACGTCATCGGCGTCCTTGCGGGCGAGGGGCGTGTATGACGGCGCGCCTTCGCGCCAGCACGGCCCAGCGCCTCGCTCCGTCCAGTCGGATGCCGATCCAGCCGGTCTAGAAGCCCCTCGTCAAATGTGACCTGTATAGCTTTCATGTATGAAAATATATACCACTGCAGCCATACTGTTCAAAGTCAAGCGCCCGCATGACCTCAAAATGCGGTTACCGAAGTAGAGAATGTGCCTCATAATTGCGGTTACCGAAGATGTGGAGGTGACCGTGAATCGAGAGTACGTGGGACACCCGGCAGGCCGTACGGCATAGCGGTAGGAGACATAGCGCTCGTTGAAGCCTCATCTACTAGCCGCGAGGAGGCCTAGCGAGTGCTGGCTACGGTATGGGGTATGATGTTTGCAGTCTTACTAGGGGGTGCTACAGGCGTGACGGACAGGTGCCGACAGTTACCCGACTCTATCAGAACCATCACCTGGACAGCACGCGCTGGGAGCGGTTCCAGCCGCGCGAGGGCGACATAGTCGTGGCGACGCCATACAAGTCGGGCACGACGTGGATGCAGACCATCGTTCGGAGGCTCCTGTTCGGTGAGCGGGAGATGCGGAGATGCCGTCGCTGGGAGAGCTATCCCCCTGGATGGACCGGCGGCTGTCCCCCCTGGACGCTGTCATCAGGGACTTGGAGGCGCAGAAGCACCGGCGATCAGTCAAACGCACATTCCGCTCGATGGCCTGCCGTACTTCCCACAGGTCAAGTACGTGGTGGTCAGCCGGGACGCACGCGACGTCTTTATGTCGCTCTGGAACCACTATAGCAACTACACCGACCTCTTTTACCAGATGCTGAACGAGACTCCAGGCAGGGTCGGTAACCCGTTGCCACGCTGCCCGAATGAGGCCCGCCAGTTGTGGCACATGTGGATCACGACGGGCTGGTTCGAGTGGGACAGCGAAGGTTTTCCATTCTGGTCCAACATGAGGCACGTGCAGACCTGGTGGAGCTATCGCCATCTACCAAACATTCTGTTCGTCCACTTCAACGACCTGCTGAGAGACCTCCGGGGCGAGGTGTGAGGATCGCCCGATTCCTTGATATCGAGCTCGACGACGAGTCCCTGAAGTCAACCGTCGACGCGGTCACGTTCCGAGCGATGAAGCAGGATGCCGAGCGGACGTGGCCTCGTCTGGACAACGTCATGAGTGGTGCGCGCAGACGTTCTTCCACAGAGGCACGAACGGCCGATGGGAGGACGTCCTAACCGAGAGGGACCTAGAGCTCTACGAAGCGGCAGTAGCCCGGGAGCTGTCGGAGGAGTGCTCCCGCTGGCTGGAGGGAGGTAGATCAGCATCCATCTGTGGGTCCGACAGTTAAGGGACCCCCTCTCAATCTTCCCCCGTCGGACGGGTGAAGAGGTATGAACTGCCTCGCCGCAGCCTGCGGGGCCGCGTATGGGCTGCGTTCGTGTCCAGGGGATGGGGCTGTGTTATCGTAGGGGAATCTCCTGGAGGCGCTATCTGTGGGGAATGCTACTCACGTGGTCGTGCGGGGGCCTACGCACGTATATGAGGGCAGCCGTGTGTCCTTGACGGCCCTGGACAGGGTGGACCTGGACGTGGAGCGCGGCAGCTTCGTGTCGGTGATAGGTCCCAGCGGGGCGGGCAAGACTACACTGCTGAAGGTGCTGGGCGGGCTCATCGACCAGACGTCGGGGGTAGTGGAGATAGACGGGGCGGCGCCGGAGGAAGCGCGGCGCGGCAACCGGATAGGGTTCGTATTCCAGGACCCTACCCTGCTGCCGTGGAGGACGGTCGCCGGCAACGTTGCGCTGCCGTTGGAGGTCGCGAACGGACATGGAGGCGGGCGCACCGACGTTGGGGAGCACCTGCGGGCGGTGGGGCTTGCGGACTTTTCGGACTACTACCCGCACCAGCTTTCGGGCGGGATGAGGCAGCGGGCCGCCTTCGCGAGGGCGCTGGCGTCGGCCCCGGAGCTGTTGCTGCTAGACGAGCCGCTGGGGTCGCTGGACGAGATCACGCGCACGCAGATGCGGTTCGAGCTGCTGCGGCTGTGGGAGGGCATCGGGGAAGACGGTGGTGCTGGTGACCCACAGCGTCCCCGAGGCGGTGATGATGTCGGACGTGGTGGCCGTGATGTCGTCGGGCCCCGGCCGGATAGTGGAGAGGATCCCGATCGAGATAGAGCGCCCGCGGGACGACTCGATGGAGGGGTCGAGCGTATTCGCCGAGCACCTACTACGGGTGCGGGAGAGTCTTGCCCTTGGAGCGTGGCATGGACCAGCCGCTGCGGGAGCCGGGTCTCCCGCTTGAGGCGGAGGCCATCAGGGAGCGTACCGAGACGCGGCGCGGTCCGGTCGTAGGGCCCGTCGCTGGGCGGCTGCTGCCCCCGACGCTGGCGCTGGCGGCCGTCGTGGCGGTCTGGGAGCTGTGGGCGCGGCTGGCGGACGTGCCGGTCTACATCGTGCCCGCGCCGTCCGTCGTGGGGAGCAAGCTTCTGAGCGAGCCGGGCTACTTCGCGGGTCACGCGGCGAGCACCTTGGTCGTTGCTATGGGAGGGTTCGCGCTTGGCACCGCCGTGGCCGTCCTGTACGCCGCTCTCATGTCCCAGTCCCAGTTACTGGAAAGGGCGCTATACCCGCTGGCGCTGCTGGTGAAGGTGGTGCCCGTGCTGGTGTGGGGGGTGCTCTTCGTGGTCTGGTTCGGCTTCGGGCCGACTCCCAAGGTGCTGATAGCGGCGCTGATAACGTTCTTCCCCGTGCTGGTGAACGCGCTGGCCGGTCTGCGGGCGGCGAACACCGAGTACCTGGACCTGTTCCGCTCGCTGAACGCGTCGAGGGCGCAGGTCTTCTGGAAGCTGCGGGCGCCCGGCTCCCTGCCCTACCTGTTCGCGGCGTTCAGGATAGCGATACCGCTGGCGGTGATCGGGGCGTTCGTGGCCGAGTACTTTACAGGAGACCGCGGCATCGGCAGCATTATCAGCGTGGCGCACTCGAACCTGGACATGCCGACACTGTACTCGGCGGTGATCGTGCTTGCGGCAATGGGGGTCGCTCTTACGGCGGTCACGTCAGAGCTGGAGCGGCGCGTGCTGTTCTGGCACGACCCGTTCAGGTGAGCGAGTGGCGCTACAGTAACCACGGGAGAGGTTGCGCGATTTGAGAAAGCTCATAGCCCTACTGTCGATTACGGTGCTGGCGGCGGCCGCCTGCAGCGAGAGCGAGCCGAACAAGGTGGTGTTCATGGCGGGGTTCAAGCCGCAGGCGAACCTGCCGTTCGTGGCGGCGTACGTGGCGCAGGAAGAGGGGTTCTTCGAGGAGCAGGGGCTGGAGGTGGAGATCCTGCACTCGACGAGGGGGCAGCACCTGCAGCTACTTCTGGCCGGCGACGTGGACTTCACGACGGCGGCGGCCGCGGCGGTCTGAAGCGGCGCTCCGACCCGGAGGTGCCTATCGTCGCGATTGCGCTGTTCGGGCAGAGGGGGCAGCAGGCTTACATGGCGCTGCGGCGCTCCGGCATCGAGTCGCTGGACGACTGGGAGGGTAGGACCTTCGGGTACAAGATCTCGGTGCCGCCCGACTACCTGGCGATGCTCGGAGCGGCGGGGGTGGACCGCTCGACCATCAGGGAGGTCAACGCCGGCTTCGACCCCAGGGGTGTTGACGGAGAGCAAAGTGGACGTGCTGGCGGTCTTCAAGTCTAACGAGCCGTACATCGTCCGCAACCTGCCGGACTCCAGCTTCGAGCTGAACATGTGGGACCCGGCGGACTTCGGCGTGCCGACAATGGGGCTGACCTACATCGCCCGGCAGGAGACGGTAGACCGCAACCCGGACGTTACCGAGCGGTTTCTGAAGGCCACACTGAAGGGCATCGAGTACATAATCGACAACCCGGATGGGGCGCTGGACACGGTAATGGAGTACGCGCCCGACGAGGACCGCGACCACATGCGGTTCATGTTGGAGGCGGAGCTTGCGGACGCGGTGAGCGACCTCACCGACTCTTTCGGAGTGGGATGGATGACTGAGGGGCAGTGGAAGGAGCTGTACGATCACCTGGTGGAGTACGAGGCGATCGAAAAGACCTTCGACTTCCGGGATGCCTACTACACGGGGTTCCTGGAGGGCATCTACGACGGCAACATGCTGAAGTGGCCGTGAGGCGCGCGATGACGTACTCCAAACAGTTGCCCTGAGCATCGTCATGCAAGCCGTGCGCGGGGTCGTTCAAGGGTGAAATAAGTACGGCGCCTACCCAGAAGCTGGCCTGGCACCAGCATTGCTTCGAAGGCCTGTCGAAGGGGCGAGAACCAAAGGCCCCTCACGCCGAAAGAATGTTCACACCCCTCACACGCTCGAAGTGCCTGCGATTGTTGGTGAGTAGCGTGAGGCCGTGGCTCACCGACGTGGCACCGATTAGAAGGTCAAAGTCACCAATAGGGGTCCCCTCTGCCCTCAACCGGCTCCGCTCCCCAGCGAAAATCCGGCAAACGGCATCATCCAGAGGGACGACGTCAACGAAAGCCAGGAAGCTCCGCAACTTCTGCTCGTTCCTCCGTGGGAGCAGAAGAACCAAGCACCCCGTCATATAGCTCGGCCAGTGATACTATACTCAGACCAACGCCATCCGGAAGCAACCTGTCGAATCGTTCGACCAGCCGAGGAACCCCGTGCATGTAGTCGATGACCCAATCCGTGTCGACTAGGTACAGCACGACTCACTACAGGTCCACCGGCTCCTGGGAGCCGGCTAGTCGAGCCTCGTAGAGCATTCGCTTCAGCTCCTCCGCATCGTGACTGCCCTTCCAACCCCCAGCCGCAGACTGGGTTATCCTGAGGCGCTCATCGTCCGAAAGCTGCGGCTCGGTACCGATGGACACCGTCACCTCCTCACCGTCTTCGAGATCCAGCGGCTCCAACGGCAACAACACCCCGCGCGAAAACCTAGCCCGTATCTTCTCAACCATGTCCGCCCCTTTCACTCAGGCGATTGCACATCATACCACTTAGATAAGAAGGCCAGTGGCCCTGACGGATGAGCTCGCAAGCGGGCGACGTATTCCTGAGCTTGGCTCAGTACCCACCAGGGAGTGAACCGTATAGTGGGCTAGAGGCTACACGTCCTCGGTGATGTAGACGACGTGGACCTCGGAGTTGAAGCCCTTGTAGCACGCGTAGTAGACGCAGAAGAGGCGGCCGTCGGGTAGCCTCACCGCCGAGCAGTAGCCGCAGTTCCAGTCCTTGCCCCTGTAGACCTGCGCCGCGTAGGTCCAGTTCTCGCCGCCGTCGGCGGTCACGCTTACGCTGACGCCGGGGCGCTGCGGGTCGCGGTCGCGGTAGAAGCAGGCGATGGCGCCGGAGTGGAGCAGGAAGAGGAAGGGGGTCTGCCCCTGGAAGGGGAGCGCGCGCGGCTCGGTCCAGGTGCGGCCCTCGTCGGCAGAGTGGGAGACGTAGCTGTCGAAGGGCGGGTCCTGTGTGCGTATCACGGCCATGAAGCGGCCGTTCGGCATCCTGGTCACGGCGGCCTCGTAGAAGGTGATGTCGGAAGAGCGCGCCACCACGACCTTGCCGCCCCAAGTGCGGCCCATGTCGGGGGAGAATGCGACGGCAGCGTAGGTGGCGCCTCCGGGCTCGTCGGCGCCGTAGACGGGGAGCATCCAGTCGCCTCCGCTGGTGATCAGTGCGCGGTCCATGGCGTGAGGCTCGGTGGAGCCTCCGAACAGGGACATCTCGGGGCCCATCGGGCCCCAGGTCAGGCCGCCGTCGGTGGAGCGTATCGGGTGGACGTGCGACTCGGGGCTTCCTACGCGGCGGGCCTTCATCACGAACATGACGAGGGCGGCATCGGGCGTCTGTACCATGCGGTTGCCGCCGCTGCAGTCCCATCCGGCAGGGCGGCGACGGGGCGCGGCTCTGACCAGGTGCTCCCACCGTCTGACGACCGCGTGGTCACCACGGCGCCGTCGTCGATCATGTCGTGGTCGCCCACGGGATGGCGACTGGCGAGGCGGTAGCCGACCAGGAGGTCGCCGTTGGGGAGGAGCTGGACGCCGGCCAGGGCCTGGAGCGGGGCTCCGGGCCTGCGGCGATTAGCACTCTGTCGATTACCTTCATGGGGTTAGTGAACTGTGATTCTTGTGATTTGGGTGATTCATGTGATCGCCTGTCAGATCTGCCGGGGTGGTACGCGTAGGCGGGCGAATGTCTTCTCCAAGTAGTCCACAGTGTAGCTGGCCATGGCCTCGACGGCCAGCCGGCCCTTCTCCGCAGTGGCCAGGCTGGAGCGTCCCCACACGCCGTCGGGGCAGTACTCCTTCATGGGCTGGTAGTCGAAATAGACGGGCCCCACGTCGGGGACGTGGTCTACTCGCGACGGCCCCACCTGGTCGGGCGCCGCGTACATCATGATGGAGGTCTCCAGCTCGCCGGCGTGCTGCTCGTCGCCGTAGCCGTCCAGGATCTCGTTGAGCATTGCGCCCGCGTCCTGGGCGGGGTTGACCAGCACGATTTTTCCAAGAGACTGGCTGAGGTTAAGGTCCCGCACGGCTAGCTTGAGTATGAGGTTGCCGCCGTGGAAGTTGAGCACCGCGATGCGGCGGAATCCCTGCTCAAGCAGGCTCGTTGCTACGTCCTTCACGACGGCACCGAGGGTCTCCGGGGCGAGGAAGATGGAGCCCCGGAAGCCGGCGTGGGCCTGCGAGCAGCCGAAGGGCATCCCAGGGAGGAGGTATGCGTCGAGGCGCTCTGCGACCACCCTGCGCCACGACATCGCCCTGGAACCAGTCGACGGACAGCGGGAGGTGCGGCCCGTGCTGCTCGATGGCCCCCACCGGCAGCACCGCAGTGTCCACGCCGCTGCATTCGAGGTCGAGGTGGGTCGATGTGGCGTCGTACATGGCGACCTCCGTCTAGCAGGGTGCCGCGCTTCGGCTACCCGCGCAGCGTCAGCATGGCCATGAACTGCATCCTATCGAGCGCGGGGCGCCCATTGTGATGTCCCAAGCAAACTTCACCCTGCACGGCCTGTCTTTGCAGAAGTAGACATGGTACTCATCAAGTGGGAGTTCGCGCTTGGCTGCCTTAGCAATACGGTATACCGTGGAGCCGGCAAATACTGCTCCGCCGGTTATTGCTAGGGAGTTCCGAGGGGCCCCAACGATAGGCCTAGACCGACGGCCACTTTCGCTCCGACTGTGGCGAACGCGGCAAACCCAGCAGCAGTTTTTTCAGTGTTGTTGTGTTTGTTTTTTTTTGTTTTCAGTTTTTTTTTATTTAGTGTTTGCACAGTAGTTTTCAGTTGTTATTGGTGTCAGTAGTTTTAGTTTTTTACTTTTTTTTTCAGTTTTGCATGCTTATGGTTTTTTTTTTTTTTTTGCATTCCATTCTATTTGTCATGTTCGAAGTTTTTTTGTTTAGCTTCGCATTTTTTACTTTTTTTTTGCCCTTTTCATTTTTTATTTTATTTTTGTTGCCATCCCGTTCTCTTTTTTGTTGTTTTCGTTTTCGGTTTTTTGGAGGGGCCACTTCTAATTCTGTCGCGTTTTTTTGCAACTTGTAGTTTGTGCTTCTCTTGCTTTGTTTCACTTTTGTTGCGGTGCTCTTGGCGACGTCCCCCGCAGCATCTCTCCCTCTCTTTCGGCCACGTTTCCAGTGGAAAAAGTTTTCCAGCCCAGCAATTGGCGCTTCAATGGCTGCAGCTATGCCTCCACCTTTTGCCGCACTCTTCAAAGTGGTAGTGGCTGCTATGCGAGTTGCTGAAGCCCGTCCAGCCGACTTTGCAGCAGCTACCTCGGCAGAGGTCATATTCCGGCTGCCGCGGCGATGTTCTTGGTAGCATCTTCCAAAACTAAGTTTCCGGGCGCTCTGGCTCTACTAGGCGCGTTAACTACAGACTTGATGTGGCTGGCATGCTTTCCCCTAAGATATTCCTTAACGGCGTTCTCTCCTTGATTGCGGTTCCATGTGGGTACTTGCTTCTCATAAAACCGCTTCGCCATTGTGGGCGTTCGTGAACCCAGTCCTCGACCCAGCCCGCGGGTCTGGAATAGGCGCTGGGTCTCTCTGCTGAGGTTGTGCCAGCCGCCCGCACTCGACTTGAATGATTCTGCCTCCTACAGAAACTAACTCTGAAACCGTCCCCCTCGCCGGCCCCCGATTTGCCTACTCCTCCCGACTTCAATCCATCGTCCCCCGACTCAGGCCAGGCGTAGATCTTCTGCACTACGACCCACGTGTTCTCGGGCAAGGAAAGCACTCCTGCAATAGCCCCGGGCACCCCCCTCGGGTTCCTTAGTTTCTTTCTTGCCGGTGTACCAGTGACTTAAGTGCCGTACATAGCACGAAGCCTGAGCTTCCTTCGACTGCACTTGTCACATTCGATGCAGAAGTTCCGGTACTTGCGACGCCGGAATTCCTCCGGCATGTCCACTGGCATCTGTGACAGGCACTCTGCACCCGCCGGGATGTCGTGGAAACACTCCGTAAAGGTGATTCTCTCTTCCGCAACTACACGCCACATGACATCCAACTCAAGTGCAGCCAGTCCACCGAGATCTCGCCCGCCTGTTAGGAGCGACAGGAGACTAGGTGCCTTGGTCGTTGCCCCGCCCTTGCTCTTGTCTATGAATGGGCTGAGGAGGTTGGTGAACTCCATGGGGAATATGAACTTGGTGGACTCGCTGGCGCCGAGCTCCTTTAGGGTGTCGAAGTACTGGAGGCTCAGGGTGTTGGAGTCGATGTTCCGGGCGACGCCGTGGATGCGGTCAAGGGCGTCCGCGAAGCCTTGGGCGCGGAGAATCGCGGCCTGCTGGTCGCCCTCGGCCTGCAGGATCTCGGCCTGCCTGCCGCCCTCGGCCTTCAGTATGGCCGACTGCTTCTCGCCTTCGGCCACGGTGATCGCGGCCTGGCGGGTGCCCTCGGCCTCGGTGACCGCGGCCCGCCGGATGCGCTCGGCAGACATCTGACGGTTCATGGCCTCCTGGATGTCGCGTGCGGGCTCAACCTCCCTGATCTCCACCTGGGTGACCTTGATGCCCCACCGCTCGGTCACCTGGTCAAGCTCGGAGCGGAGCTCCTCGTTGATCCGGTCCCTCTGCGAGAGCACTTCGTCCAACGATATCTTGCCGATCACCGCCCTGAGGGTCGTCGTGGCTATGCCGACGACCGCGGCCTGGTAGCCGACGACCTCCAGAACCGACTTGGCGGCCTCGTGCTCCATGACCCTGAGGTATACGAGGAAGTCGATGCCGATGGGGGCGTTGTCCAGGGTGATGACTGTCTGGCTGGGGATGTCGAATACGTCCTCGCGCAGGTCGATCTTCCTGGCCTTATGGACGGGCCAGAAGAGTATTCGGAGACCCGGCTGCTTCAGCCCCGAGTACTTCCCCAATGTGAAGAGGGCAAGGCGCTCGTACTGCTTGACTATGGCTACATACGGTATCATCGCTACTCCTTCTCACCCGCCGGCGTCGCCGGTCTTGAATACCTTCAACGTTAGGCCTTCCACGTCCACCACAGTAACCTCGGCGCCCTTCTCAATAGGCTCGCCCGAATCGGAGACCGCACTCCACAGCTCGCTGCACCTGAACGCTGCCGCGCGGCTCAAGGGCCGTCATGGAGTACCCCGTCTCGCCCAGCAGCCTCTCGGTCTGCGTGCGGTACCTGGCAAAGCGGGTGATCCTATAGCGCACCGCGAGCCTGGCCGCCACGAACAGCGACACGGCGACGAGGACGCCCGCTCCGATCCGGACGTCGTCGAATAGCAGGAAAGTCCCGGCGACGACGCATATGCCGCCCGCGATGCCCGGAAAGTCCACACCGGGGATGTCGAAGTCGAGGTCCAGATCCACGAAGTAGAGTACAAGACCGAGCACCAATAGGCCAGCCCCGACCCACTGAAGCGGGGTCATCCTCCCCCTCCGCAAAGGTCTCTCATGCCAGCCCTCCGGCTTCGGACACCTTGAGGGTGAGCCCGTCGACTTCCATCACAACAATCTCCACACCCTCCGCGATGGGCTGGCCTCGAGAAAGAGAAGAGAGAAGAAGAAAACAAACGAAAAAAAGAGGGGAAGGGAGAAAAGAAGAAGGAAAGTACCGCATCTCCACGATCGCCGTTTACCCGCGGACAGTGCCCCGGGGTTCCAGAGACGATACCACTTTGCCGACCTGCCCCACGAGGTTGGCGGAGGGCGATACGTAGTCCGCCTTCCTTGCGACGGCCAGCGTCCGCAAGGAGAGGCCAAGAGGCGAACAACACCACGCTGACCGCGGCCAGCAGCCAGAGGTCGATGCGGAAGCTGGGGGTGGTGATGGGCGGCGGGGCGATTCCTCCGAACAGGAAGAAGGCGCCCAAGACGAAGCTGACGGCCCCGGCGACCCCGAAGACGCCGATCCCGGGCACCTGCACCTCCACCAAGAACAGCACTACGCCAAATACGAGGAGCCCGACGCCGACCCAGTGTTTTATTTACCGGCAGGTTGCCGAGGGCTACAAAGGCGAGCGCCAGGGCGATTACTCCCAGGGCGCCGGGGCCGATCAGTCCGGGCGACATCACCTCGATCAGGATGCCGAGCGAGCCAAGGGCCAACAGGATGAAAGCGATGTTCGGGTCGGCGATAAAGCCCAGGAACCTGTCAAGCGCCGTGGGGTCTATCCGCCTGACCGGAATGTTCGCGGTTTCCAAGGTGCGGGCGCCGCGCTCCATCTCGACCTGCCTGCCGTGTATCGCCTCGAGGAGCGCAGGGACATCCCTGGCGACAGGTCGATGATGCCGCTATCCAGGGCCTCGGAGGCCGTGTATGCCTTCGCCTCGAGCACAGTGCCCTCGAGAGCCTCGGCGTTGCGGCCCCGCTCCTCGGCAATGGAGCGTATGAACGCCGCAGCCGCCTCGGAGGCCTTGCTCTTCAGCGTCTCCGGCAGGTCTTCGCCTGTGCTGCTGACTGGCGTGGCGGCCCCGATGTTGGTGCTGGGCGCCATTGCGGCCACGTGGGCGGCGGCCGTGATGAACGTGCCAGCGGATGTTGCCTCAGCGCCGGCGGGGGAGACGTAGACGACCACCGGAACCGGGGATGCGAGGATCGCCTCGACCATCTCCCGCGTAGAGTCCAGGAGCCCGCCGGGGGTGTCGAGGAGGACGATCAGGACCTCGGCGTTGTCCTCGGCCGCCGTGTCGATCGCGCGCGCCAGGAAGCGGGCGGAGAGGGGCTGTATGGCGCCGTCGATCTCGACAAGAGCGGCGTGGTCATCCTGGGCGCGCGCCGTGTCTATGGCCTGGGATGCGATGGCGCCGCCGAAGCCCAGAACGACAAGAGCCAGAACTAGGATGCGTCTCATGGGGCACTCAATCACAGTGTACAGTGTAACACCTCGCCCTCACGGGCGGCGTGGCGACCGAGGCCAGCCAGCATTCTCGACACACGCTGGCGATGGAGAGGCCGACGACGGAGCGGGAATCGCCGGCGCAGGGCCTGTTCTTCGAGAGGGGTGAATCCCCCGTTATCTGTCTCATTCTGTCACATCTTGTCTCATTCAGCTTTGGCTTGCGAGACAGTGCGTGACGCGAGTGAGACGAATGGATAATCCGGCTAGAGCAGATACTGCGCGAGCGAGACAGAATGAGACACGCCGTTGAGGGCCTCCCCAGCAGGGGGTCACCTAGAAGAGGGCGGCCCGGGCGTGGGGCTGGTCCCTGTCATGGGAAAGGCCCCGGCGCGCGGTGTGATATGCGGGCGTATGTCCATATGGAGAGGATAGCACGTCTGTTCGTGCACATCAAGGGCGCGAACGGGCTTTTCGTTGTCCGGAAACTCCCGGAAATGTAGAATGGCTGGTGTAGAAGCACGCATTTGTAAGGGGGACTCATGAGGGACGCGGAGATACCGGCACCCACCCAACGAAGGAGGGCCACTGCGCCTCCGACCTCCCGTGAGGAAGGCCCGCGTCGTCATCCAAGCCAAAGAGTAGCTGAGCTTCACACCCTTCCCAACTCTTCCTGCTCCTCACTCTCCTCCCTGCCCGGCCAGCGCGCTGACTTCAGCGTAGGCGTTTTGGCAGGCCGGACATTCTCGAAGAAGTAGTCCAGGTCCCTGTACCCGGAAGCAGGGGCAAGCTACTCGACGAGGGCCTGGCGAAGGGCCTCGATCTGCCGGTCGGTGAGTCCGGCGTCGCGGGCGTATCCCTCTGCCCCGCCGTAACGGTCCTTAAGGAAGGCCAGCACTTTGCGCATTCCGTCGGGTGGGCACAACTCACGCTGGTAGTCGCGCCAGCCCTGGAGGTTGTAGTCGGCCTCCAATCCCGGCATCTCGACCTTCCAGCGCTCCCACAGGTACCTGGCCGTGAGGCCGTAGTCCTCGGCGATGGTCTCCTCCGGCACACCGGCGATCTCCAGGAGCAGCGCCGTCGTCACCCCGTCCCGGTCCTTGCCCTCCGGCGCAGTGGTAGAGGGCTGGCAGAGCGCCCGGCTCGGCCATGGTCGCCAACACCCTGCCTACCTGTGCCTGCCGCTGCTCCAGCCATGCGCAGTACGACATCTGGATGTCGTCCGCAGGCGTCCCCACTACCGGGGAGTAGTGTATGGGCTTGCCGCCGATGACATCGATGTGGTGGTAGCTGACCTCGGTGGAGGCGGCGAAGACATCGGGGAAGTCCGCGAGCTCGTGGGACTGGCGCAGGTCGATGACCGACCGGAGACCGTATCCGAGGAGGAGCTGCTGGTCCTTCCCGGTGAGCTGGTGGAGGCTGTCGGCGCGGAAGAAGGTGCGCATCCGGACACGCTTGCCGTCTGCAGTCGGGTAGCCGCCTATGTCCCGCACGTTCCATGCGCCCTCTATGTCTATCCGTCTGGGTCGTCTACTGCCATGTGATCTCCTTTCAGTCTGAACTGTGATTCGCGTGATTGGGAGTGATTGGTCTACAGATACTCCTTCAGGCGGCGGGCGAGCTTCACGGTCATGCCCGGCACGGCGGCTATGTCGTCCAGGGTGGCTTCGCGGATGCCGGTCACGGAGCCGAATTTCCTCAGGAGCATGCGGCGCCTCTTGGGGCCGATTCCAGAAACGTCGTCGAGGACGGAGGCGGTGGCCCGCTTCGACCTGCGCTGCCGGTGGAAGGTTATCGCGAAGCGGTGGGCCTCGTCGCGGAGGCGCTGCACCAGGAGAGGGCCTGCGAGGTGCGAGGGAGGACTATGGGCTCGGGCGTGTGGGGCACGAAGAGCTCCTCGTTCTCCTTGGCGAGGCTGGAGAGCGGTATACCGTCTATACGAGCTCGAGGAAGACCTGGAGCGCGGCTCCCAGGTGTCCCTTGCCGCCGTCGATCAGCACCAGGTCGGGCGGCGAGCTCCAGGCCGACCGCGCCTCGTCGGGCTTGTCTGCTGAGTCACCGGCGCCGTTCTGGGACTTGGCCAGCCTCTTGAACCTGCGGGTCAGCACCTCCCGCATCATCGAGTAGTCGTCGACGCCGTCGACGGACTTGATCTTGAAGCGGCGGTAGTCTGATTTCCTGGGCT